ATAACGGGTGAATGAGAAATTGATTCTCGAAGTTCACTCGTTGAAATGGAAAAACTGGGAAAAATGGTGAGTTTCTAGTGTGTTTTATCCCACACCGAAAAACTCAAGGGATTTTCACCCCCTTATAAAGGGAAGCCTCTTTTAAGGAGTTAAGATTCCTAAAGGGAAAGGCTCTCTCTTACGCGCAGGGGGGGGGGGGTGCCGATCAAATCCCGAAACGGAGAAGAAAAACCGCGACTCGTGTGCGCGGGCGACCTGCGGACACGAATGCCGTCCAAAAATCTATCTCTCAAGAGATACGGTTAATTAGACACAACAAGGGGTGTTCTGTTGGCTTCGGACAGAACCCCTCCAAGGGGTGTTCTGTTGGGGTCTTCTGCCGCGCACTTCTTCCGTTACAACAATTAATGCCCAACGTTCTTATCTTTTAATGCTGCGTTAAATTGACAGTTTATGGACGATTCAATGCCCAACGGACTGGTCATTGATGTCCAACGTTCAGGTCCATTAACACCCCATTTAACACACAACAAATCCTCCTATAAATAGTTGGCAGGTGCTTTGCAACATACACACGGTTTGACAACGCACATCACTTTCCTCACGTTTTCTTGAGCTAAAAACTCTTCCAGCTACTCCCAAAATTCCTTCTGTGTTCATACTTGGTTCTCGTTCACTGGAACTCTTGTTTGTGTGCTCAAACATTAGTTCGTAGTCATCGTATCCTGGGAAACGATTGTTGCAACGCTCCTAGCACCGTGGGAGGCAACAAATACGTTTTAAGGAAATCGTGCGTAGCACGAGCTTTGACTAATTCTGCTTCATCTCCTTTCCTGTTTTTCTTTAGTCATTTTATTTAATTAATTTATTTTAATTAATTTTCTTTATTTTCCGAAACACACCCAACACCTTTAAACTATTTTTCAAATATTTGGTTGTTGGGTTCATATGTTTGTCAAATTTGTGCCAGTTTTGTGTTATTCTTCCAAGACAAATCTGTCAACTTTGTTCGCAGATTTAAGATTTATACGAATGACAAATTTAAATTAATCTTAAAGGCCAAATCTGCCAATTTAATGGTAGATTTATGGGATTGGTGTTGTGAAGGTGGTGGTGGTGCTTGGAGAGTTGGAGTTGCAGTGGTGGCCTCCAGATCTGACTCGTTTTGATTTCGCTAAAAGGCAGCGATGGTGACCAGAATGGGCGGCAGCGATAGAGGATGACAACGCTGATTGGGAGACGACGATGTGGGGGCGATGATGACAATGGTGACGATAATGGCGGCGACGGCACTGGCGGATAGCGACGCGAGCGAGGGCAGCGACATGCGTGGTGAGGATCACTCAAGTGCTCCTTTTGAAATTTATAAAGTTTCATCACATTTTAATTTTACATTTTAATTATATATTCAACAAAAAGTTGAATGGAGGCATTTGTGTACAACTAGGAGATTTTAAGTCTTAGAAACATAGGTTATTTTTTTGTCCTATTTGTGCACATATCTATACTTTTAGTCCTATAAAGGTAATTAACTCAAACATATTTTAAATAAAAAATTTCATAAATCAGTAAAATCAGTAAAATCAACCACTTCAACTAAAATTTCATAAATCTTAACAGAATTAGCTGATCAATTTTGGTATTTCCAAACGGGCAGAAAGACAACAACAACAACAACAACATCCAAGCCTTAGTCCAAAAAGATATCGGGGTCGGCTAACATGAATCGATACATGATATCACCACCAAAAGGAAAAGAAAGAAAATAAAGATAAAAAAGATAAGCTATTATAAAAAGATAATATAAAAAGAGATGAATATACATAAAAATGATAAAATAAAAAGGATACAAATAATGCTTATATATATATAAGGATAAAAAACAAGGAAAAAAAGATGAGGGGAAAAGATGATACGAGATCACTCCTCCATACGAATACCCGTCCTCCACTTAGCTCTCTCCAAAGTCATGCCCCCATCCAACCCCAGAAGAAGCATATCACTTCGAACTCCCCTAACCCACGTCTGTTTGGGTCTTCCTCTCCCTCTCTTCCCTGCCTCTTCTCCACACATCTCAACTCGTCTGACAGGTGCATCACTCGGTCTTCTACGCACATGACCAAACCACCGTAGGCGCGATCCCGCATCTTGTCTTCAATAGGTGCTACTCACACTCTTTGTCTGATTGTCTCATTCCTCACGCAGTCCTTCCTAGTATGCCACACATCCAACGCAGCATGTGCATCTCTGCCACACTCATCTTTTGAATGTGACATTGTTTCACCGCCCAACACTCTACGCCATACAGTAATACAGGCCTAATTGTTGTCCTATAAAATTTACCCTTCAGTCAAGTCAGCATACCTCGATCGCATAGAAATCCTTACGCACTCTTCCACTTCATCCACCATGTTTTGATTCTATGGGATGCATCTCCATCTAACTCATCGTCCTTCTGAATTATGGAGCCCAAGTAACGGAACATATCGCTGACTGATATCTCCTTACCATCCAGAGTAATTCCGTTATTACCACCGCTTCTACCTCCACCAAACTTGCACTCTATGTACTCTGTCTTGCTCCGACTTAGTTTGAAACCCTTATTCTCCGATGTTTGTCGCCATACTTCCAACTTTGCTTTAAGACCTGATTGCGTCTCATCAATCAATACAATATTGTCGGCAAACATCATGCACCACGACATATCGTCTTGAATTGACTCTGTAAGTTCATCCATGACTATGACATATAAGAAAGGCCAGGGCTCAGAGCCGATCCTTGGTGCACTCTAATAGTAATAGGGAACTCTTAAGTCCTTCCTACACTAGTACGGACACTTGTAATACAATCCTCATACATATCCATGATGATGCAGATATACTTGCATGATATGCCTTTCCTTGTTAAGGCCCACTAAAGAACTTCTCGAGATACCCTATCATATGCCTTTTCTAAGTCAATGAAGACCAAATGCAGATCCTTATGAGCGTCTCTATACTTCTCCATAAGTTGCCGAAGAAGGTGAATGGCCTCAGTTGTTGAGCGACCAGGCATAAAACCGAATTGATTCTCTGAAATCTTCACAGTTCTACGAAGTCTTTGCTCAATCACTCGATCCCAAAGTTTCATGATGTGACTCATAAGCTTAATCCCTCGATAGTTGGCACATTCTTGTACATCACCTTTATTCTTTAATAAGGGGATAATAGTACTCTTCCTCCAACTCGTTGGCATCTTGTTCTTTCTCCAAATCATGTTGAAGAAACTTGTTAACCACTCGACGCCTCTCTCTCCCAAACTTCTCCAAGCCTCGATCGGTATGCCATCTGGACCCAGTGCTTTCTTCCGTCCCATCTTCCTCAGAGCTTCTTCAACTTCCGTTGTTTGGATCCTTCTCACAAAATCACGATTTACCATACAATCTGGTATGGACAAATAATCGATATCTTGTGTTTTGTTCCCGTAGAATAGTGTATCAAAGTATGACCTCCACCTCTCTTTTATCTCTCCGTCATCCATTAATATCATCTGATCGACATCCTTCACACACTTAACTTTTGTAATATCTTGAGTCCTGCGATCACGAAGACGGGCAAGTCTATAAATATCTAGTTCTCCTTCCTTAGAGTCCAACTTTTCATACAACTCCTTGTTCACTTTCCCTCGTGCTCTCCTTACGGCTTTCGTTGCTTGTCTTTTAGCCTTCTTGTATGTTTCTATATTCTCATCACTCCAACTTGTCTTCAACTTTTTGTAGTAATCTCTTTTGTTTCTTATGGCTTGTTTCACCTCATCATTCCACCAAGACGTGTCCTTTTAGGTGACAGACATCCTTTAGATTCTCCAAGTACCTACTTTGCCACTTTGTTAATGGTCAACTCCATTGATAACCACACATCATTCACATGTGTTTCATTATCAATACGCCATACATCTTCACCGACCATTTTGTGTGCAAAGCTTTGTTGAAGATCTCCCTCAGGCCTCCACCACTTTATCTTTGGCTCCACTTGATGTTTAACTTGTCTTCTATGGTTCTTACCTCAGAAGTCAAGCACAGGCATCCTATGCTGAGTGACAACACTCTCATCTGGAATAACCTTACAATCAATGTAGCTAGTTCTCCAAGTGGTCCGTACTAAGAAGCAGTCAATTTGGGTACTATTAGCTCCACTTTTATAGGTTACAAGGTGAGAGTTTCTTTTCTTAAACCAAGTGTTCATTATAGCCAACTCATACGTCAAAGCAAAATCTAAAATGTTCTTTCCCGCCTCATTCCTAGTGCCAAAACCATGTCCGCCATGAATACTCTCAAAGCCATCATGACTCGAACCCACATGCCCGTTGAGCTCACCTCCTATGATCAACTTCTCTCCCCTTGGCACTCGTTATCACGCCTTATCACCAATTTAATGCTCATAATGCGATTGTCCTTCCTGAAGACTTCTACCACATCTTCAACATAGTCACGCACCACAATAATGTCTACCCCATTTCTGGTCTTATCTCTCTGAATACCACAACTTAAAACCTCTGGGATTAATCTCGCATACTTTCTTTCCAACTCATTTAGTTTCTTGGTTGATATTCCTTCTCACGGGCAGAAAGATTGCTTGAAAAAAAAAACATTGATTGATATTTTGGGGAGTGTGGCAGCCGGACGCTCCACCCGACATCAATAATGTCGTGTTTGGCGTTTAAATCCATTTATAGATAGTTATTTACTCACCAATCACTCTGTCATAGAGCAGAGGTGTTAATAATTGCTAGGAACCAAACACAAAATAGAGGGTTATATGATGTGACGAAAAGATCGCACTAAAACGGAGGGTCCACCGTCCACGTAGTGTGAAAGGATTAATGCTACAGAAAGATTCCGATGCGATATAGATGGGCTTCTGGACTTTTCCACACATAAAAAAGCCTTTTTGGATCAGGCCACGAGCTCGCCACACGCCTCTAACACATGGATGTACACGTGTCGTGCTCTCACCGGCCTTCACAAACCCTAGCCTCCCCGTCTTCTCCACTATATAATTCCGCCATTTCCAACCTCATTTCTCCATCCTCAGACAATCTCTGCTACAAGATTATCTTCTCCTTTCTGATTTTGCACCTCATTAGTTTCCAAATTCGAAAATGGCACTTTCAGCGATTTCTCTTGGCAAGCCTTCGGCTGCCATTCTTCCCAGCCTAACCGGAGCAACATCTCCTGCTTCTTCAATCTATTGTGTTCCGAGCCTTGCTTTTCCTAGGAAGCAGAAGGGAGGTTGCTCTGTCTCTGCTACGGCGGAGGCGGCTGATATTCCGCTCACTGGGGTGATTTTCCAGCCATTTCTGGAGGTGAAAAAGGACGAGCTGATGGTCCCATCTGCCCCTCAAGCCTCACTCGCTCGCCAGAGGTATCCCGATGAGTGCGAGGCCGCGATCAATGAGCAGATCAAGTAATTTCTCTCAGATATGCTTCTTAAATTGAATAATTATTGGTTTACTGTTCCCCTAGCTTTAATTTTTAAATTCATTCTTCCTGTTCATGAATCTAATTCGACAAATGTTTGATTCCAGCGTCGAATACAGCGCATCGTATGTGTATCACTCCATGTATGCTTACTTTGACCGTGACAACGTTGCTCTCAAGGGCCTGGCCAAGTAAATCTAAAATCCATTAATTAGTTTTTATTTGTTTATTTCTTAATCTGAAATTCAGGATCCAGTAATATCTTATGTTGAATGTTTTGGACAGATTTTTCAAAGAATCGAGTGAGGAAGAGAGGGGGCACGCTGAAAAGCTAATGAAATATCAGGTATTTTTGCAGCTCTTCATTAATAGACATATTGGAAAAAAACTATAGTAGAATTTTTTCTATTAAAGTTGTCCTTATGGGGAGCTAAACTCTGTTTTGGGACATTTAACTCTGGAAAAGAAAATTATTTCTTCGGATATACGGAGTAGTTTAATTTAGTAATAATAATTGAGACTTGCACAGTTAAATCCATATAATTCCTGCGTGAAAAAATGTTATGGAATTCAATGATTAAAAAAGAATTACTTCTACCACTGTACCACATAATAGGGCATATATAGTACTTGGTGTTTACGGAGTATTAAGTAACGATATTCAGAATCTATAAATTAATAAATAAATGTTAATATATGATGATGCAGTTCCTTTTGAGTTCATAATAATCCATGAATGTCTATGAATGACCTGAAACAGAACACCCGGGGAGGAAGAGTGAAACTGCACTCAATTCTGATGCCACTTTCAGAGTTTAATCACGAGGAGAAGGGTGACGCATTAAATGGTAAGTAAAGATCACCTGCTTGTTTCTTTAGCATATGCATGCATATAAGGAACCGATAAAGAAGTCACTATGCTAATTAGATCCACATGTGATTTGTTGATGCAGCAATGGAATTTGCATTGTCACTGGAAAAGCTGGTCAATGAGAAACTCTTGAAGCTCCATGCCGTATGATTTACTATATACCATCGGATCTAATGATCTTGCTGTTATTACTGATGTCTGGGATGATTAATTTATGTTTTCTTGATAATTGCAGGTGGCTGATAAGAACAATGATGTGGAGACTCAAGATTTTGTGGAGAGAGAGTTTCTGGAGGAGCAGGTTGAAGCTATCAAGAAAGTTTCTGATTATGTTACCCAATTAAGAATGGTTGGGAAAGGACATGGTATGATTTCTTTATTTTCTTTGAAAAAGAATGTCTTCCCCTCCCACCCCTCTTTATTTTAATATCCTTTGCAAATTGTTTTGTATATCAACTCATGACATGGAAGCGTTTGTTATGATTGCAGGAGTGTGGCATTTCGATCAGATGCTCCTTAATTAAGATCATCAATATTTTGAAGGGAGGGTGGTTTGCATTGAAAATGGTGTTTGAAGAGTGGGGGCATGCAAGGGTGTTTAGATTATCATATGTTTATGTTAAATCGTTCAGATTTGGATTTTATGTTATTTGTTGTACGTTGCTAGGCATAGCGTTGGTGAATGCGATCCCTGGTGCTTTGAATCCAATGAACCCTTTTTTGTAAATGTCATCACAAGTTCTGAATGTGCTTTCAATCTCATGATCCTTTTTTACTAACTTACTAGTACTAACTACCTAGATAGATATCATGGCAAATATAATACTCGTATAATGGAACACCATTAAAAATAAAATAAAGCTAATATGAATAATCACTATGATTCTTTAATGTGCCAACAGTGACTTCATTATTATTACAATTAGAACAATTTTAATTACATAGTCATAAAACTAATTAGTAGAATGGTTATAATGAAATGAAACTTATAACGATGCAAATTCAGTTATCTGATGAGACAGGACGATTTAAATGAAACTTATCAAATCATTAATTAATCTTTTAAGGATGTAAAGATGTACGGAGTACTTTTTACTTGACTACATTATAAGTTCCCTATAACAAGTTCCTAACCGTATAAAATTACGAACTTATTCGATAAAATTCGAGGTTAAACTGATTTCTCTTTTGTTTACACGACAGGTACATTTAGTTTTTGATTTGACAAATATGTTGGGATAAACCAAATTGACCAAAATTGATTAAATCAGGTACAATATTGTTTTGGGAGTTGATGAAAAATAATGCCGCGGTGGACAAGTCTTTGTTATAAAGGTCCCGCCCAGGAAGGAATTGTGTACCATCCCATTGTCATGTTGCGAAAGAAAATATTTAAATGTTGTACACTCACATTCCCATTCTCTGAATACATTAATTCACAAACTTCAATTAAAGCAAGTGAAGATATCTCTACAAGCATGAGATTGCGGGATACAATATTATTTTCAAGTAAACTGATACGGAGTATTTGATATATTTGCTTGGTAAAGTAAAAACGCAATATTTATGTGTATAAATCACAAAATATAAGAAAACGTAATTTTAAGTACAAGAACGTTATTAAGGTAATCTTACGTTACCTGAGAAACTATGAAATCTCACAGCTACAATAAACCCAACTAAGTAGGCTGCATAGCGTATTAACTTTCCAAAATACTACGGAGTATTTAAATAAACTTTATTTGCAAAATATGTCTAAATTTAGTATAGTATAACGTCCTGATCACTAAAATGTAAAAGTTGAATATAAATTATTACAACTAAAATTAATACCAATCACTACATTTAAGAAGTAACATTTTTATAATTAAGGTTTATTTTCACCCATATCCAAATTCAACTTTTCTCCTCGTATCTTAAATATGAGATGTGATCTACTTAGATTATTCTCACTTTTCTTCTCCTTTTTATTGTTTTCTCCCTATACCCAATCTTCTTCCCAACACAACCATCGTTTTTATCTGGTCTTTCCATTTATAAGGTTGTAAACTTGTAATAATCCCCACCTGATACCCAAGAGTGACTAATATGAGCATTGGGGTTTGGTTAAGCGCCGCCCCTTGCTTACATGACGGTGGTGGGAGATGCGAGCTTAGCTACAGCAGTAGCTACTTCCATGTCTTTCTTATGGCTAAACCGAAATGAGCAAAAGAGTGAAAATGGGAAGAAATGGACATCAATCCTTATCTTCATGTGATCCGGACAGAAGCAAGTGAAGCTAACCTAATGCTAGACCAGGGTGTGGGCCGTGGGGAGTGAAGATAAACGAAGACAACAAGGAGAAGTCTAGACGTCTAGTAGAATGAGTTCAGGTCTTCAGCCTTCAGGAGTGAAAGAAATATTTTGTAAGAACAAAAAAGGCCTACATAGAAAATGTGTTCAATCCAACGTACTCCCTCCGGTCCTAAATAAACTTCACACTTTGACTTCACACTATTTTGATGTAAATAATTTGCCAAATAAGGAAGGGAGAAAAAGTGAAGTTTATTTTGCACCTACCCAAAAAGGAAAGTGTGAAGTTTATTTAGGACTGGAGGGAGTATATTTTTAATTTTTCTTTTTAACTCATCCATGGTGTATGCATTATTTTCTTTTTAGCTCATCTAAAAATCTACTAAAAAAATTAAATACATCCTTATATAATTTTCTTGACGCTAATATGAGAATTAAAACAATGCAAAACTAATGACTTACATTTTAAAATAACTTTTCACGACCTTCTAAAAAAGAAGCTTACATGCTTCTTGAATGACAAGACAAAGAATGATAGGAAACCTAGTCAAGATTGTTTTGTTGTCGACAATGGTTGCATGGATGGACTCGGGTCCGGGCCGGGTCCGGGTCGGGCGGGCCGGGCCTACCCGGACCGGTCACTAACCGGGCCGGAACAATACCGGTCCCGGGCCGGTTCCGGGTCAGGCCACCCGGCCCGAGTCCATCCCTAAATGGTTGTTATAATTCATGACAGACTAAAGAGAAAAGTCGAATGAAAAACAAACATAAAAAATTCTACAAAAACATAAAACATAATGCACACTATTCACAAAAACATACAAAAATCAATTTGATAATTTTTTGGTACAAGGGCTTAGTTGCCATTTAAAATATAGAAACTTCAATATAGCACAAATCTGATTTAACAAGTTTTGAATCAAACTACAGAAATATACTAGGCATTCTAAATGTTGAACAAAAAGAAAATAGAAGTTCATGAAGAAACTGATTTTCCATTTTTAGCCTACTCAATAAGTCACGGAACATGCGATCGATCTGCATTCAAAATGTAGCAGATGGCACCTATTTGGGTCTTTGACACTACATACAACCATAGGCCAAACCATCAGACAAGAACTGCCTGAAGTAAGAAAAATGATGGAATTTTGATAATACAATCATTCAAAGATAGAACCTATTGCAAAATTTAGAGTAAGAGTTTGAATCAAGAAATGATTTGGCCACCACACTTACAACACTGGTACAGCTTGATAACCTTCACAGCTTCACCCTATGGAAGGGGGGCTCCAATCGAGTAGAGCCCCCCACCCCCACCCCCCACCCCCCACCCCGATCGATCATCCAAGATATCAACAATGGTCACAGAGGTTTCCACATGCTACTCCTTGTTGCTGATTACAATGCAAATTTTCCATCATAACATTGAAGATAATCGGTCCCCCCACACAAAAAAATACGAAGTAAAATCAAAAGGAAGAACCAGAAGGTACAATAGATCTATTAGAAATGAAGGCAGAGAACGTAAAAAGGTAATACCTTAGCTTCTTCTTAATACCACATCGCAAGAATCGCCTTTAAAGGAGGTCACCATTTTTAATTGTCTTAGGAGTGCCACGAACATCTAATAAAAAAGAACATTAAAAAAGTTAATTCTCTAGACAACATTCTAGTGGGCACCAATGTGACCATTTCTGGAGCACTAAATATTCTTAACAATCAAAAGGCAGGGAGAGCAAAGCTATTCATCAATTCTATTGAACGATGTGAGATTTAATGAAGCGAAATTTAATCAATCTACTCAAAAAAACTTCACCTAGATCGAGCAGCAGCATCCATTGCCTTGGGGAATTTAGCCTCTTTACATTTCTATCACTAGCTGAATAGCGACAATCTTTTGTAATAGAAGCAATCAAATATCCTTAGCAGTTAACCATTCTTGATAAAGCTCAAATGCTTTGTCAAGCTCCCTCATTCCCCAATATCTTTTCATCAATAATAAAAATGGAACATGGTCAAGTTTTATCCCGGATCTCCTTATCATGCCAAAGAGCCAATTTGCCTCTCTCATTTTATGTGATACACAGCAACACCTAAGCAACTCGGTGTAAGTAATTGTATCGGGTTCACAACCCATTCTCAACATATCGCCATGTAGGCGGAGTGCGAAATCAATATCGCCAAAGTTACAGGCTGCACCAATCAACAAATTAAAAGTGACTGAATCAGGTAGAACCCCTTGTAGAAGCATCTTCTTTTTCAAAGAGTGAGCTTCAATGAAATTTCCAACGTTTATATATGCATAGATCAGTGCATTGTAAGTATATACATTAGGTACAACATTTGATGCGACCATCTGGCTCCTAATGTCTTCAGCTCTTCTTACATTTCCATATCTCCCATAGCCATGAATGATTACATTCCAGATGAGAGGTTTGGGTATGATAGAATTCTCTAACATACAGCAAAGAAAATAATTAGCTTTAATAACTTCTCCATTCATACACAGGCCTTGAATAATGATTTTGTAAGTGATTCTGTCAGGACAAATACCCATTCTTGTCATGAGACTAAATATATAACAAGCTTCATTCATTTGTCCTTCCTTACAAAGTAAACCAATTAACATATTGTAAGAAAATATGTCAGGCATAAAACCAGTCTTCAGCATTTGACAGATATAGCTGTGTACCATGATCAGGTCCCGGCTCAAACAGAATCCATTTAAGATGACATTGTAAGCAATATGATCGATCTGAACTCTCCTTAACTTCTCCCATATGGAAAGAGCTTGAATACTATCCCCGTGTTTAAAGCAACCATCCATGATTATAGTTGATGAGATTAAGTCTGGGTCATCATGCTTATCGCCTAATATCATCTCTAGAAGTTCCTTTGATTCCCTAATGAGACCCTTCTTGCAAAGTGCATCAACAAGTATATTACAAGAAACTCTGTTTGGGGTTATACCATTGCTAGCCATGGTTGAGAATATCTCCAGAGCTCTGTCCAAATCATTCATAAGACAATACCCATTAATTAGGTTATTATATGTAGCACAACTAGGAGTAGGACCCCGGTATTGCATCTCTTTGACAATCCACTCTGCTTTCTCCAAGTAGCCAGTTTTACAAAGTCCACTAATAAGATAGTTGTATGTATATGTACTGGGAATGCTGAACTTATGTATCATCTTGCTCCATAGAGAATAAGCACTCCCTAGTTTTCCCTCCGTACATAATGTTCTAATAACAAGTTCATCACAATGCAACTTTGGTATGTCATCAAAGCCAATGCAAGTCCACGATTTTCTTTCCCTGCACAAATGTGATGAAATTAATATCCAGAGCTAGTTAGAGGGTTCAATATCTTCCATAAAGTTTGTGATTAGTTTATCTGACTAAATTAGCCAAAAATCTGCCCACAAGAATTTCAGAATCGTGCAACAGTAGGAAAAATTTAAGGTCAGTGACCAAAAGTGATATGGAGTATTAACCTAAAATTTGTGGGACCAAAAATGGAATATGTCTTTATTAAGCATGACCACAGTACCACACTCTTAAGTTGTGTGCTTAACCATCGAAAAGGAATGCAATTAAGATTGAAAAAAACATAAAGGGAACCATAAAATGTAAATAAATAAATCACACATAAGTACATAATAAAAATAATGTAAATAAATAACAAATCACTTCCATGAAATCATCTATGCTGTGTGATATCTGGAAAAAAACGGGACATAGCTTTCTGATCAAATAAACAAGATTAGCACATTATGCATACCAATCTTACCATGCTTTTATGTCATTTAACACTGTCCATTGTAATAGCAAACCATAAAGAGAAACTTGTATCACAATTGGATGAATCTAGTAATTGCAAATGCTTTGAAAGTTGAGAACACTTCAAATAAGTGCTAGTAGAAAAGAAAACTCCAACTTTACCTTAATCATGTGTTATAGTTAGTATTTACAGAAATTACTAACATAACACAACCCACTAAGTATCGCTTGCCTATTCAAACCCTCTGTGTGAAGGAGGCCTAAAAAAGTTAACAAATAACATTTACAGTGTGCCATTAACCAGAGGTTTCAAGCATAATGAACCCCATAAGTTTTAGAGCCCAAGAAGAGAAGGGGGTATTGCCTTGTTGAGTAGACCAAGCATTCACATTATTCTTCAGAAGAGAGAAAAAATGAGACGCTGAATGTGAAGAATCAATCTTTAGATGTAAAAAATCTTGATGAAAGATTTTCATACAGGCTACACTGATGCATCACTACTCATATATACCGCATTACCACTAACCTCATGCTCTGCAGACGGTCCAATATATCCTTTAATGTTGAATCTAAAACATTGAATGCTGCACCCTCATCTCCATCTGGATTTGGAGGCAATTCATTCCTCTGAGAGAAGCAATCTTTTGTTTGGAGTTCACAAGGGATAGGGGTTTGCATAATTCCGCCTTTTCTACACATCAATCTAAAGCATTAAATACAAGGAAACTTAACGTGCAACTTATATATATATGACAGGCAATTTGATCCGTAGCTACACAAGAAGATACCTTGTATTCATTAACTCCGAGTTAGGATGGGAGCAGTAAAAACCATCAACCACCAGGCCAATTTGGTCTCTGATGGAGTCTATGATTTGGAAGGTGCCATTCAGCATCCGAATAAGAAAATGAGATTCTGATGTTACTAAGATCTGTATGTTCATGGAGCATAAGTTGTTCTCAGATATGAGATCACTGACAAGCCGAAGCTCGAGAAAAATAGCGCTGCGGCACCAGTATGACACTCCCAGACTCTCAGTGGATTCTGGTTGAACGGTTACGAAGTAAAAGGTCCCGGACACGGTTGGGATACTCACAGCAGGCGGAGAAATGTGCAAAAATTTGGAGCGTAGTCTTGTTTCCCGGCGGAGGAACGCACAGAAGGCGTAGTAATGATGTCGGATACTTGCGATTTGGAAGTCGTGGGTGGGTGGATCAAACTATAGACTACAGAGGCAACCGGAGGTTAGACTCACAGTCGACGGTTGCGATCGTCAGATGCAAAGGCCAGCTTCGTTTCCAGACCCCTGACGTCAGCCACTAGGGTTCTTTGTTTTTGCAAAATCCATTGAACCCTATTACTCATATTAAATTTCAGTTTATCAGGCTTATCAACCAATTTTTTAATCAAACGCGTAACTTTTGATTCCGCGCGCTGAATTGTGTAATAATACTCCCTCCGTTCCTTAAAACTTTGCCAACTTTCCTTTTTTGGTTGTCCCACTAACTTTGCCACTTTCTCCTTTAAGTAAAAAATTTGTGGTTCCAGTTAATTCTCTCTCCTCTTCACAAATTTCTACCACACAGTTTTTACTTTATTAATCTCCGTGCCGGTCAAACATGGCAAAGTTTTAAGGGACGGAGGTAGTATGAAAAAGTAAGTTTGAAATTACGTATCTGACTGTATTGGCTGAAGTTACTGCAGATGATCATTTTAGTTATTTTTCATATTATTTTTTCTTTATTTTATTAATGAAATATATTTTAAATATAACTTTTTAATAAATCACGAGAATCAACCAATACAGCCAATTCAATTAGAACTTCATACATTCCAGCATAATCAATTGATTCAACCGATTTCAATATTACCAAACGGGCTCTAAATACAACCATTCGTAGAAATTAGCCTGAAATTGTTAATTTACTTCTTGGGCGGCTGACCCATTAGAGTCGGTATCAGTTACTCCCTCCGTCCCTTATAACTTTGTCAACTTTTCTTTTTTGGTTGTCCCAAAAACTTTGTCGCTTTCTCTTTTAGTCAATAAATTTGTGGTTCCTGTTATTTTTCTCTCCTCTACATAAATCTATGTCACACAGTTTTTACTTTATTATTCTATGTGCCGGTCAAACTTGACAATCCTTTTAGGGACGAAGGGAGTATTAAATTAGTTATTAAATTGGGTCAAGTTCACGTAACATTAGTTCCTCCAAAAAAAGTTGAATCTCAACCCCAAGGACCCCCACGCCCCTACCCGACAAAGCATATAGGAGGATGTGCATTACACTGTCTCAGTCAGCCCAATGGTGATAGACTTTATATCTGTGCGCAACACTCTAGCCTAGCAAGCAAGAGTTGTAATCCCCACACGGTCGTTGTGAGTTTTGAACATTGGTTATTCCTGCAAATTTCCTAACACTCAAACAACTGAGCTATCCGTATGGGTAAGAAAATGCTCATGTAGCATTAGTTGTTGGACTTGTGGTAGATGTCTATTCACTACGTTATTTTTGCTATACTGAAGTGTTGTCACTTTTTCTCTCAAAATATTTTCTAACATTAGAATGTATTTTCACTTCGGATAAAAAAAATTCCTTAGGTAAAATAAATGGTGTTTCAGCCAAAAATGACGGTTTGATCATTTTTAACATTTTGAATGAGTGAAAAAGATGTTTGCTATATTGTTGTTCGGTCTTAACGACTTTTTATGAAACCATTGAAATGAAAACTTTGTAAATAAGAGAGTTTTGGGTTAGCATTTTGAAATATGAAATTTTCAACTAATTTTATAGCCTAACAATTAAATTACCAAACATTTTATGACAACGCGCTAACTTATTTCGCTAGTCAAACCCACTAACTGAATATGTGATTGACAAACTGTTAACATAATCCACTATCTACTAGCCGCTAAATGCCAAACATGTCCCCTTTATTAATTAGTTTTTTTTGTGATAAGTGGATTTTATTAATATAGAAAAAACATGAAACACAACATCCAGATAGCTATTACACATTTGATTGTCAGCCCTAAGAATAGACATAGAGTCAATCACTCATACAAAACAACACGACTCGCTAGACACAAAACGAGCAAGATTAAGCTTAAAACGGCCGAAATAGAAGCATTGCATTCAAAAGTTCTACAAAAACCAAAATACTCAAACCATACCTCCTCGAACTTAAAAAAAAGTACTATTAATGGAAATATATAAGAAGAAAATAAAAACTTTCCACAAATTGTCTCATGGCACTGTGGCGGAGGAGGATGAACCGGTGCAGTAAGTATGGATGAAAGTAAAACCACTCTTTCAACTTTCTTTTTCTACGAAGAGAATTGCGACCGAAAATCCGCCTGAAACCCTACTCTCCTGGCCGCATCTGCGAGCATCAAACCATCCTCTTTGTCCTCCATAGTCAACCTGTAGTACTGCTCGTCAAGCTTCTCCATTGAAATCACCAAAATCTGCTTGCAAACTCGCTACCCTGTTTTGTCACTGCCTGCGAAACCAAGTAGCCAAATAAATTGCCGGCTGCATACGTTAACCCCACCGGAGAAACCAAACCCTATAAAACCCTAGGGAACAACCGCCATAGCTGCTTAGATCTCCACTTCGTCGCCAATTCAAACTTGGTGCTTAACTGCGGCGAGATGCTTGAGGTCTCTAAAGAGGCGGCAGCTTCTATTGAGATGTGTAGCCTGATCTTTTGTTGTTAATCCACGATTTTATTAATTAGTTGTTAAATATATCTCCAACTATCAACATATTTACAAATGTATCTCGATCATACTTTTACTTTTATTTAAAAAAGACTCAAACTTCAACTTTTCTCACAATTACACATTGGGTAGTAATAATCCATTACTTTTTGTAAAGTAATTTTATTACTTCGTAACTAGGTAGTCACTTCGTTCATATCTTATTTCTTCTTTTACGGGAAATCATACCATGATATACCGTATTTAGTTCTTACCGCTCTCGCGGCATAGAGTACATAAGTTTAGGGAACCAGACTGATCTCTCATGCGACAAGTTCTTAAATTATTGTCAAAACGAGCGAGCGTACAACCCCCTAATAATTACTAATCTCTTAGTGAACGATCAAGTATGTGTGAAAGTGTTCTAGAATAAATCAGATCTCTCTTAATTTATTCTATGTGCAATTATAATCCTAGCGGCCGTTCCAGGTTACAAAAGATATCAATTAAATTATTCAAACACAAATTAAATAAAGATCATGCAATTAATCCATCAAGAAATTAACCCTAGATCATTGTAACCCTTTCATTAATCACAAATCCCTAATTAAAATTACTCACAATTCATAATTGATTAACAACAGAATTGGGATAAAAAGAATTAATTTTCATTAATTAAAAAGATGAAACTTACAAATAATCTAAAGGTCTTGAATATCAAAGCGGAACAGTACTCAGAATTTCGTCCTAGGCCTCTCTCTAAGCTCTGTAACCAAAAATAGAGGTTTACAGGCTGTTTAAATGGAAAACGGAGGGATTCGGGCCGAAAAAAGGATTTATGGGGGCAGGCACGGTGTGCCTGACGTCCGTGCTTCCGAAGCACCGGTAGCGGAAAAAATCGGGCACGGCGTGCCCGGCCTCCAGTAGGGTTGCTTGTGCTTTCGTGTTCAAGGCACGGCGTGCACCTTTCACGTCCGAATTTGATTACGCTTCCTTCACAAAGGTTGTAGATAATGAAGTCTTCTATCCACGAGAACTTGCAAAACTAGAATTGGTTCACCTAATCAAAGGATATGCATAAAATGGTGGAAGATCGCATCCTGAAGATCTCACCAATGATTATCTGACTTCATCGTCTGATTTCACCTTCCTCCTCTCCTATTCTCGTCGTGGTGTATTCATATGATTTGTAGCCCTTGAAGTTATATTCATATGGAACTTGAATCGTGTACTTTGAATGTTTTTTAAAAAAAATATGCTTGAACGATTGACAGAACGTCATCCTGATCGCCATTTTCAAGCTCTATTCGTCCCTGTTTGATCTCGTACTTGATCCTTGAGCTACCTTGACTTCAAAATCACTCCTTTAATGAATCGTGGACCTTCACATCTTCTCAATAACTCTCAAATGTTCCTTTAATCATCTCATATAATTCTTCAACGCCGGTGTCAGGCTCAATGTCCTGGTTTTCACCAAAAATACACCAAAACTCGGTAAACCATGACTTGAGCTATTTATAAGCCTTGTGACACATTTAAGTTGGGAAAACTATCAAAAATCAATCTCAACATTCATCGAATGCGTGTTGAAATATGGACTTATCACATAGCAGTGACCGTCTCCCTTAGATTTAGGGGTCGTTTTCTCTGCTTTAGTTTTCGATGAAGTGCGACATTCTTGTGCGGCTTTCTTCCTCCATTCGTGAGGCTTTCTTCTTCAGCAGGCCACAACGTCTATATGGCGGCCAAAGGTTATGCACCCATGACAGCAGGTGGAGAGTTTCGAAGATGTCGTTCATGGTTGAGATCAAAAGATCATGGATGAAGCGTGAGGCTAGGGGCTGGAACAGATATGGATTTGAGGTCATTTGTGTTAGGTGACGACAGAGGAGACTTGGTAAAGAACATGATGAATAAGAGGCAAAAAGAGGAAGAAGCTACAGTACTGCTGGACCCCCCCCCCCCCCCCCCCCTCTTAAACAACCGTCATGGAGTGCAGGAGAGTCTAGGGTTTGGAAGCATCATTTTAATTTTACTGTTTGCTTGCTATTTATTTTTCAAGATCAGCCTATTTATTTTTCTGTTGGTTACTTATATTGTTGTAAGGATTAGGTAATGAGAGGCCTGCTTTAACCGTCGTTGGCTCATTATTGCCCATTATAAGCTCAGCGAGTCATACTGTTATTTTGAAGGTGATTGACTCTAAGTCTGGTTTGAGGACTAACGGTTTCCTATGGTCCTTTTGTCGTTTTACCCCCTATCTGAATGTCGTGATATCAATTTAAGCTCACTTCTTCCAAAAAAAATGTAAGATTTGGGTTTATTTCAAAATAAAACTTATTGACACAAATATGATTAATAATTACTATAATGAGGTGTCATGGTAATTTAAATTTAAAAATTGAACATAAATTACTATGATACCGTTCCTACAGTAGTCACAGTTTTGTAAACAATCTTTATTTTAGTCAAATATATGTATGATAGAGTATATGGCCCGGGAACCCCCGGCCCACAGACTCCTACTACTCCAATAAAGGCCCAACAGGCCCAAAAAGCACAACATGCCCAAATCACAGTGCCCAGAGTGCCAAGCAGCCCACAATGCGCACCAGGGGCGCCCTCGGCCCCCTGGCCGAAGGCTC